CTAACTCCATCTCCGAGATCCAATCCATGACTCTGATTGGATCTTCCTTCCTAGTGAAAGTCGATGGCTTGCAAGTTAGAAAATCTTTGTACTTGCATCCATTCCTCTCGACTCCGTCACCTTGATTGTTCCTCCTAATCACCGGTGGATCAGCTTGACCAACGGTCCCACTGTAGTTCACTTCCTTAGACTACTTGTCATTCATCTCGGGTTCTTCAATAGGCATTGTAAGTTCCTCTCGATTTTGTTGAAGTAAACGACTTGTTTCCTCCATTTGACGATCCAACATCATCTGGATCAGCGCTTACACTTCGTCCATCGTGAGTGGCTCAGGAGCGGCTACTACAACAGGTATTTGCTCAATCACTGGTGGTTGATTCTTGTTTCCATTCGTGTTCCAGGCTCCACTACGGGTTCTTTCCATTTCGATCTATTCACCAATTTAAACGTTCGGTGTGTAGCACCGACAATTTAGATAAGAAAGATTTTATTTACGATCGACGTGTAAATCTCCTTATCACTCCGAAAAGTTATATGCCAGTTCTAATACCGTAATTTAAACATTTAGAAATCTGAACACATAAAGTTTCTGGATCCGGTCGGCAATAGACCATAGATCTGATCATACATTTAGCATCATAAAGCATCATATATCATTTAGCACATAAAAGCATGTTAGGCATTTTCCCTAAATAAGCTAGTTCTTGTGTCTATTTAGGTGTATTACCTAAGACACACTCCTCACCATCATTGCTTAGCAGTCTAAGTTTAAGTCTAGAAATAAATCCATATTCCTAGTTCGCTTAAATTAATGCTCTGATACCAACTAGGACATCCCCATTTTCATGGTCACAAAAAACCGATTTTGTTTATGCTTTATAAAAATCAGAGTACATCTTTTAATAAAAATGTTGCGGAATTTGTTCCCAGTAAAACATGATAAATACGTTATCAAAGCATTTCCGAAAAAAGTATTTTTATTCATTTTAAAACATTTGGGATGTCATCGTCAATACAAAAACATAAGCATAAACACAACTTACATTCATTATCACTAGTGATTTATATCTCTTTAATCTCTCAGTGTAACGTGACTTCATATCAACACCTGTATCAAAAATAAACTGAGTGGGTCAGGTTGGGAAACCTGGTGAGTACATAGGATTTTCAACCCACAAGAATATAGTTAACTTGTTTCTTCACATAATACATGTCAAACAATTAACCCAATTACCCATCCCCATTATCTTTATTTAATATTCCCTAAAGTATTACCTTAAGGTTCATCTCTTATATCGTATTTACCTCTCATCTCTTTACATCGCATTTCCTTATATGTTCGTTTCTAAGGACTTTTCCTAACGATCATCGCCTACAACACACAGACAAGTATGGTTCGGGGATTACTCCCTCAATACGCACCTAGCAAGGATTGGAGTATCATCGCATGAATACATAGTTACAACATCGCCTGAACTTGTAATTCATAGTAAGGGTTAGAATATCATCACATGAATACGTAGTTACAACATCGCCTGAACTCGTAATTCATCACCTACAAGTTATGAGCCTGTTGGTGTTTCCACGGGGTTGTCTATAATAGTCCGTGGTCGCCATCTATAGTCTGGTAGATGACTACATCTCTAAATTGTCGGACAAGGTTATAGTATCTTTCATCCTACATCACCGATTCATCATCACCTATCTATCCTCAACTAATTATCATCACCTATCTCTCATCATATTATTTCATCACACACCAACTATTTCATCTACCCATGTTTTGTCCCAAAATATTTGTATATATAAAATAAATATACAGTTTAACTCATTTAAAACATGTATAAAATCATTCATCCAACATAGACAGCAAATATTCAGATAATATACACACATAGCACGTAATTTATATAAATACTTCATATCTATGTGTAAGATGACAGTAACTATGCACTCACATGAAAGGTGGTGATTCGGAACTCGAACAACACTTCTTTATCTCAAAACAATTTTCCCTCGACAAAAACCTAGTATAAATATCACTAGGGTTCACTCTAACGTTAACCGAGACTAATTAATTGTCTAACTATTATTACTATTATATAGTCTCGACACAATACTTTTCACCCACTATAATAGACGAGGCCAAACATGGTACACCGTTGGGCAGGATCATTCATAAAAGCACTTCTGAATCCAGCAATCCAAGCGGTCCTCCAAACCGGAACCCCCGTACCGCGAGTGGTTAAAAGATATTATAACGGCGTTATATAACCCATAATTATAGCCCAAATAATTATTCTAAGGAGCTAATAACATTACTATAATTATTTAAAAGATATATTAAAAAATTTCATAGGTGTAGCCCACTTACAACGAGTTTTCTCGAAAATCGGGCTCCGTTTGGAGCAGCGTTTCTGAACCGAAAGACCCTTTTTCTCAGGACTCCGAGAGCCTCGGGGCTTCCTTCAGGTGCTAGGGGTTAACCTTGACATTAGGGGGGGGTTAGAAACCCTAGAGAGAGAAAGTACTTAGAGAGAGAAAGAGATTAGGTATGAAAAACTCGGAAGAATTTGCAGCTATTTATAGGATGCAGCTCCTCGGACTACGTTGGGTGTAGCCTTCGGTTACGTTGGGCGTAACTCCGGATAGTTGCCAGCTCTCACTAGATGGCTCGCACCTCGGACGGATAAGATCTGAAGTACGCTAGGCGTACTTGGACTCGAACATGGGGCGTAGCGAGGGTGGCGTGTCGCAATCCGAAGTGTGTTCCGTGATCAGCGATGGATGGCCCAGATCGAGCCACGTCATCGGTTTCACTATAGGATTCGCAAATTCAAGTGCAAACTTTAAAAATTCGTAATTTTTGCATACAAGTTCCGTTTTTGACATTCTTTATATCCACGCGTAGGCGTGAACGTACTCTACAACTTTTGTTCAGACTATGTCGGCTGATTTTGACTTTATTTTAAAAGTTATATTATTAACAGGCCGGGACAAGATTGATCTGTTAAAAATTCATAAGTTCTTCATCCGACGTTCGTTTTCGTCTATCTTTTTATCGTTACACTACTATTAATGAGATCTTCGATTCTCGTTTAGTTCTATCGACTAAAAACCTCTCGATCTAATATTCCAACTTCGGGTTGTACACTGCTAAGCCGAAACTTCGAAAAATCATAACTTCCTCATACGAAGTCAGATTTGGGCGTTCTTTTTATGGATGCTCTCGGTTTAATGTATTATACGACTTTCGTTTATATCGCTGAGGTTAAAAATACTCTACCATAAATTCACTATTTACGCTTCCTGGTGCCGTGTTGGTTCTGTCGTGAAACTTCGACGGGTCATAACTTCTTTGTTATAACTCGGATTTCGGTGTTCTTTATATGTACAGAACCCTTGAGAGATATCCTACAACTTTGTTAAGATTAATCCTTCTAAATAATCTTCCATTACAAACTCATTTTTGAGACTCATTTTCTCTAAATTGACAAGTCCGGATCTGCGAACGTTACATTAACTATCGTCATATGTTATATTAAGTAAACATTTATCAAAATTTTGTTACTGTTCATTTGTTATTTATATATGAATAAGTAGTATGTTAATAAAAGTCCAAGTGTTTTGAAAATTCAGACTTATTATTCATATATGAATAATAAATGAATTGTGATAAAATTATGATAAATGTGTCATTCATATATGAATATAATTTGTGGGAATAACTAATACGTGTTTCATTCATATATGAATGATAGTTAAACTTTTAAAAAAATTGAATATATTTTTTATTCATAAGTGATTAACGAATATACTATAATAAAATATTATAAATTTTTATTCACTTATAAATAACGAAAGCTGAAACTATAAAAAAAATAAATTTTTTATTTTATCTTAAAATTATATAAATATGGATGTCAATTTATAGAGAATAAAAAATATGAATTTTGATATAGTTAAAATAGTTTTTCTATAAAAAAGAGTTTCCTAAAAATAATAAATAAAAACAATGTTTTGTATATATTAATGTAAGGATTAGTATAGTTTAAAGAAACATGTTTGATTGGAATATATATATATTCATTTCCCTTTCTACCGATATTATGGAGGATTTAGTGGCAAAACTAAATGATTGATAAGAGTGATTCTGACATTCTATTAATTTTTTATTTTTTCAATTGAAGTTACCTCTCTATCTCTCTCTCTCTCCCTCTCTCTCTCTCTCTCCCTCTCTCTCTCTCTGTGTGTGTGTATATATATATATATATATATATATATATATATATATATATATATATGTGATATAATTATCAAGTGTATATTATCTAGATTTGAAAAGCTTATATCGTAAAATACATAACAAATCAACTAAGCAGACAAAATTTATTATTATTGTTATATCAGTTCTGACCGGAGAATTTGAAAAAGCCGCTTTTCGGTTTCCTTTTGCTCGAGCTTTTGTTTTGTCCCTTTTCCATTGGTCAAGGAGGCGGGCGTATTTCTTCAATGTCATCGTTATCATCGTTAAGATTAACGCCTACATGACCATCCAATGAGACTTGTTGCGAGCTCAAATATGAAGATGCCCAGCTTCTTTTAGGTGGATTTGCAATTTCATCATGTGTTGCAAGTTCCCTCTACCTAATGCTTCTTTTGACAACTTCCTACACATGAATAAACATACAAGACTTTTGCATATCATCTTGGAATGTAGCGTGTGTTTTTTTCAACAAACTCGCTTCACTTTCTCCGCTAGCCCATTGCTTCTCAAAGTTTGTGTAAATTTCACTCCAATATGTGAGGACTTTGTTCATAAGATTCCATTTGGAGTTACATTGGTCGGAGGTCTGATAATCTGGATTTCGACCCATTCTCCTATAAAAGCGCTCAGTGATACGTAACCAAAATTGATCATGATTTTGACCGTTTCTGGTGCCACCACCTTCAGATATGTCGACCCATGCCCTTGCTAACTTAACTTCTTCTTTTTGTGTCTATCTTCTCGGATCAGCCTTCCCTTTCTTTTGTTGTTGAGGTTGTTGATGTTGTTCTTCATGTTCTTCCTGTTCGGTTGAAGGTGTGAATGGAGGTTGGGATGGAAATTGGGTTTGAGATGGTTGGGTTTGAGGTTGATATTGGAAATGGAATTGTTGGGGTATTTGGAATTGTGAATAATAACTATGAAAACCATCCATTTGTGGCCAGTAAGGTGGTGATGATGATGGATGGTAGCCGAAAAGTGTGTAGGCGTTGTTAACATTTTGGTTTGGAGCATTTTGTTTGGAAGAGTTTGAATTATGGGAAGTTGACATTTTCGAAGAAAAAATTGTTGTTGAGAGTGTATAGTGTGGTGATTTTTTGGAAATTTATTTGTATAAATAGTAGATTCAAAAGGAAAAAAATGAAATGTGCCAAATTAGCCGTTGTCGACCGTTTGGCAACGTTCCATTCTTAAAATCCCCACAAAAATCACACATTTGCCATCAGTAAAGGACCACCAACGGTGCTTAACCAGCACTAAAATCCTCTTCACGGCACGGTGTTCACCGTCAGTGAAAAGGGGACACGTCAGGCACCGCCGGTGTCCCTTTTATGATACCGCTTAGCCTAAGAAAAATATTATCTATCATGATACTTCTTTTACTAAAAGAAAAAACAATCAAAATGTCATAAATGGACATTATATATATATATATATATATATATATATATATATATATATATATATATATATATATATATAATTTCGATTAAAAGCTTGTTGTCCAACGTAGGGATATTATTCGGGTCGGAACCGGACCAAACCGACCCGAACCCAAATAACCCAAAAACCAAATAACGATGATTGCATGAACCGAAAACCGAACCGATTAACCAATACGGGGTCGGTTTGGTTCAGTTATTACCAGAATAATCCGAATAACTTGTATAAGATGATTAGGGACCTAATATAACCAAAACAAACCGAATAAACCGTATTAGGATTCTTTAACCTGAATAATAGAATAGCAATGCACTTTTATACATCGACACAAAACGTTCAAAGAATAACATAATACAATAACACATTGAAAGAGTAGCATTTACATAGTAGATTAAAGTAACGAGAATTAATTGCTTACTTGAGTTTCTTGAGTTGGAGCCCCATTTTTCATGACTAGAAAAAGTAGGAATTCATGAATCTTTAGAGGTAATAGGAATGGTCGATTTTTGAAAGTCTGAAACAAGAAGAAGGATCGACAGAAGTGATTTCGAGTTTGGAAATAGTTCAGAAGTTTGGTCGATTTTGAAACAACGAGGAAGAGCATAGGTTTTTTTTATGAATGACGAGGACAAAAGTGTGAATCGTGATTTCGATTTCCGTCGATCAGAGAAAGGGGACGAGGAATGCTTATTCGGGTCGGGTATTTAGAACCGAATAAGCTCTTATTCGGGTAACCCGAACCAAATAACCCGAAAACCGAATAAGCAAAATATAGATACCCGAAACCCGAATCGAATTGCTTATTCAGGCCTAATTCTATTCTGTTCAGGTTTTCGGGCCAAATTCCCATCCCTAGTTAGCAGCAGCTATAAAAACCTTGTGGTTGATTGAAGCAGTAGTAACATGTATCACATAATAGCCGACGGTTTGACCTTCAGGTTGTGAAAGACAGAAAATAGCAACATACTTTATATTAAGATTGGCACAAATTTATAAAGTTATGTAAATAAATAATCAACTTGCAGTGCAGCCCATAAGAGGATATTGTAGTTGTTGTAAAATAAGAAATTGTTGAATTTGTATGACATAGAACATGGAAAATAAAATTCATTTCATTTATAGATCAACCATAAAAGTAAGATGCTATGATAAAAATAATAATGGAAGTATGCTTCTATTTCTTGCATTTTATCCTATTTCGACTACTGAACATGATTTCAATTTTTTTTCTTATTAGATTATTATCAGTGACATTTTGATTCAGTCATATAATGTTTTGTGCATGTAACAACCAAATTATCTTGAAAGTGAGAAATCCATGTAATAAAAATAGGTTTACAAAGAACTCAACAATGTATGATAGTCGATCCATCTTTTAATTATATGACCAAATCATAGTGTTGTCCAGAAAGTAATATGAATATTTCAGAAATAGTAAAAAAAATGAAAATTATTAATTTTAGGATGTAAAAATTACATTGTTGTTCGAAAGATTTTTAAGAAAGTCCAATACCATTTTTTTACATTTTGTTAAATTCCAAAAAAAAATAGTATAGACTTCAGAAACAATCGAAAAATGTGAATTTTTACAAACTACAATGTTATTTAAGAGATATTCAAGAAAGTACAATGCCATTTATGATGTTATTTTCCAGAAAATACCATCACTATATCAGAAACGGCGAGAAAAATGAAAAAAAAATGTAATGTTATTTAAGAGATTTTTCCGGAAAGTCAAATGCTATTTATGATGTTAAATTATTTTAGAGGTTTTTAGTGCAGCACTTATAGTCGGTAGATGATGGCGGTGGAGTGGCTTTCTTGAATCCGTCTTCTTCTCCACGCTCTCTTCGATCCCTAGTAACAAGCCATTGCTAATTATGTCGTTTGCTAAAGATTCCTGCAATTGACATCAATATAAACCCCTCGTTAACTTATTTTTAAAATAAAACCAAAAAACAAATTATATTTAAAAGTGGATGATAATATATATGAATGCACAGTAGCACTCATAGTGAAAATTAAGTACCTCTTTGTCCTAGTTGGTTCTATAGCAAATCCAAACCAAGATTGAAATTTTATCACAATTCCAGTCAGCATGCCTATCCATATACCCATATTAGTTATAACACAAGAAAAAAATGCCCTTTTTAATTATAAATAAAATAGATAGAACATACCATGATTCGAAAATTAAACCATAAATTAACAATTATAGGTTTTTAATGGCAAAGTGCCTACCTTATTTTCACTTATCCTTGAAAACAGAGAAATCAAAAGAGCAATCACTGAATTTGAGAAGTAACAAATCAAAAATCAACATCATTGTTAAAAACATTTTTGTCATTCATCAATAATAATTTTGTCGTTCATCAATAATGATAAAAAATGATTTATAATGTTTATCTCTCCATCGTTCTTCAATAATGATAAAAGAATAATTTATAACTTTTCGCTCTCAATAAAAACGAAGACAAAAATAGATTCCATAAAAAAAAAAAAAAGCATCCCTTAAAAGAATGTGTAACTTCTATAAGAAAACAATCTGCATAGAATGTATTTACAGAAACATGACATAAATGTCATGAAACATGGATATTGTGTAACATCCTGTTTCTTATCATTTTTTATTTCAGGGTCGTAGGCCAAAAATAGTTGTGTAAAGGCATTGAACCTTAAGAAGGTAAATTTTAGACCTTTTGGGGGCGATAGTGATGGTTGTAAGTGTTGGATTAATGTCTAAGTCCATAACTATTTTGGTATGTACTTGACCCGATGGTGCATGGTCCTTTTGGGTTGCCTTCACCAAAGCAACTTGATAGGATGAATTATGGAGAGAAAGGATTAAATATGATTTATTAATATATTATGAGAATAATATATTAAAGGAGAAATGATATTGTTTAATTAATATTAGCCAAGAATTAATTGGTAATTAGTTTTGTGACTAAAAGAGATTAATTAAACTTAAGGGACTGGAATTGTAATTATAAGATAATTGCAATTTGGGCTATGGATTGCCTTATATTAAGGGGTGGACGAATTCTATGGGGAAACCCATGAGAAATCGTCCAAGGCCTTAAGGAAAGGGGGTCCATGGGTTGCTTAGGGCTTAAGCATCCAAATTAGGGTTTCCTTGTTAGATAACCCTAATAGCCTAACTATATATACATCCCTTATGACCCAAAAACGTGGCTAAGCATTCTTTTAGGGTTTCACACGTTTTTGGGCAGCCTCCATCCTCTCTCCTCTTCATCCTCTTGCTCTTGGTGTTTGTGAACCATTAGAGGAGTGACATTTGTGACTCTAAGCTTTCTAAAGTCAATACAAGGAGGAATTGAGATTGTTATTGCTACATAACAATCAAGGTATGATCTTAAACCTATTCTCATGTTAATATGATTACTTGAATGCTAGAATTAGGGTTTATAGTCTTGGATAACTTGCATGTACAATAGAGAAACCTAGATCCAAGCATTAGGGTTTGTATGAGCACATAGGATGTTCTTATGACCAAAACCCATCAGTAAGATCTAACCCTTGAATTTTGTATTGCATCGAAGGGTAAAAAGGGAAAAAGTCATAGACTGGGTTTCTTGCATGAAATACAGATTTTAGTTCGAGAAGTTTTTAGTCTAAAAGAACTATATTAGATTGTGGGGCTCTTCAACTTCTTTCCGTGCATACAAAGAATGCCAAAATCGGAGTTGAATCGAGGAAGTTATGGTAATTTGAAATTTGTGTTTAATATGTAAGAATGGTAATACGTTAGGTGTACTAGCATCTTAAAAATGCGCCTTCACTGGATTACGTTGGGTCTACCATTTGGTACTCTAGGCGTAGGAGACCAGAACCAAAACCCTAAATCTCGGGGTTTGAGCCCTATTTAAGCACATTAACTCTTCCAAACCTCTTCTATTCTCAGCCTCCATCTCTCCAACATCCTCCCTTGAAACCCTAACCCTAGTTTGAGCATTGTGAGCCAAAATTTGTGCTTTTGGGTGCCTTTAAAAAAGAACAAGGTGGTGATAGTGCTTGGAATATTGAAACAAAGTTAGATCTAGAAGTTCTCTTCCCTCATTAATATCCAAAAAGTATAAAGTTTGTACATTTATGTATCCATTGATAGATCTAGGTTAGAGGTTAAATTTATGTCTATTTTGTCCTACAAATTGGTCCATTAGAGTGTGAGATGTTCCATAGCTTGTGAGGTGCATTTCTAGGTGTAATTGAAGGTGTTTAGTCATAAAAATGAAATTTTGGTCTTGTTCTTCCATTCATGTATGAGTTATGAAGCTTAGAATCTTATGATAAGTTAGGTTTTTTTGGATTTAGACCATTTCTAGCCATGCGAAGTCATAAAGTTGAAAACTTTATGATTTAGGATATCATTTGGACTTAGATCTGAGCTTTGGACAAAAGGACTTGAGGGAAAAATTGCTTAATGGAAATATTAGAACCAGCTTGAGTACATTCGGCGTACCTAGTAGTACGTTAGGAGTACCTAGGAGTACGTTAGGCGGGACCAAGCAGTGTAGAAAGGGAAGCGCATCTCCATATTTCGGGGTTTTCATTTCAAGTTAGTTCTCCTCACCGTACCCATGGGTT